AGCCACAATCAGCTACAGCAGCTTTTGAATGTGTCGATTTGAGCACTGGTGCAATTGTCGTGGAGACACCTTGCGTCAGTTTTCTGCGTTTCTTCACTTTAATAGCATCTCTTTGCAAAATATCACTTTTCACCCCTTTCGACCTCCGGGATTTCGATCACGGAAAAATTCAGCATTCCCCGATTTCGAAGTTTACTTACATAAAAAAGCCTGTTTGGCTCTGGAACTAAATCGCCTTTATTAAAGAGGAAAGAATAGAAAAAAATTAATAAAGGATTTCCAAGCAAGGGCGAAGTTCAGTGCAGCAGGAAAACCCGCTGCCTGTTCTTGCTATATTGGCCTGATGCAATAAAAGTGATTTCATAGTGTAAGAATTAAGTAAACGAACAAGAGATCCGATTTGGAAAATTGCTGGTAAGTGAAATAAACAAAATTCAACCAATAAAAAGGCAGTATACAAAAAATGCGGCAATAACATTGCAAGCTATGGTTAGCCGCATGCAAAAACTCTGTTGTCAGGGTGCTTAAAATTAAATAATAATGTATTAAACGAATGAAATAGCAAAGACAATTTAATAATCAATGGTTTCATTGTTTCCATAGCTTCAGCGGCTTTTTGAATATGCATTTGTGCACAATTATATTTTACGAAAAACAACAAACAAACAATAAAACTGATATTTATATACATCCTAAAAATAGTATACATTAATTTGATTCTACAATAAAAATGTATATAAGTACACTACCGATTTTAAGAAATAATTCAGTTTTTATTTTTTAATAGAAACAGTATATTTTGGTAATTTACCGAGGAAAAGATTTAAGGTACAAAACATTTTCCTTTGCAATTTTTTTATGTTTTTGTTTTGTTTTGTTTGGGGTAAGTAAATGTTTTATAATTTGAATTGGTGATCTGAAGACGCCAAGGGGCATGAAAGTTCACGCAAATTAAAAATGTTCCTTTTATATTCTTTATATACAATCTCCATATTTTTCTTTTAAATTACATTCTAATTAATTATAAATAATTCGTCGGTGAAATAGAAAAGGTGATTTAAGTAAGTTATGCGTTTTTTTGTCACTCAATCATCATCGGTCCAAATATGAAAGCAATCCGGCCCACACAAATTTGAGTAGGAAGAAAAAACCATATTGAACACTCTTTCAGTAGCGAAAGCGTTAGATTGGAATAAATTAGCGTTTTCCTAGACCACGTGGGAAACATTTAAATAGAAATACTAAATTGAGATTTTGATGCTGCTCCAAAATTTTGACTCGTGTTCCTATTGGAACCGAAAGGAGGCACTCACACAGCCCAAATTATAAGTGCCCACCCAGCGTATAAACATTTTACTTTTTTAAGTATATGATACAGTTATTTTATCTTCGTTTTTTAATCATTTTAGTAGGAAAAAAATTGTAAATTTTGCAAAATTGCGCATTTGTCAATATTGATTTCTTAACTTGAATAATGTCTTCCTTTTTATTGTTTGTCAAGAAAGAAGAAACACGCTTGCAAGAACAGAGGCGAACTGAACCTTTTCCAGCCTATATGCTAAGATTTTCCGCCGCTTGAACCTTGAACTTAACGCATGCGCAGACATCCGCCTATCTATTGACAGTCTTACATCTTGTATGCCTAATCGTTGACTAAAGTCGTTCAACGATCTTTTAAAAAGTGCTCAAAACACCAAATCGCTAAATTCGCGGCGCGTTTGCATCCTTTTCGTGGGCTCTTTTTTTAAAAAAAGATTCTGCAATTTTTCTCCTTTTTTTAAAATAAAACCTAGAATAGTTTTTGTCATACACGTCATGTATTATTTCTTGGTCATCGAGGAATCGAGTTTGAACTTTTTCCGAAGAAAATTAATGCATAAATAAAGATTTTGTCATCTTTTCGCTAAAGGATTTTGGTTACCAAAATGCATATGGATCACTTCTTTGGCATCAGTCTTTTTCTTAGCAAAGTTGGTGAATAAAACCGATTTTGGCCGATTTGGAGCAACAATGTGATAGATGCCAAAGTTTAATTTTTATAGCGAAAACATGAAATCGATAAGTGGTCGTGGGGTCACTAAAAAATTGGAAACTGAAAATAAAGGATTTCAAAATGTTTTTATTTCCATCAGTCTAAGGTCTATCCGAGGGGCTACCTGTTTGAGTAAAAAAGACCAATGGACTTAGTTGTGTTGACACTTTAATCAAGCAGTCCTAGACAACAAAAAAAAAACAAAAAATAAAGTTATATTTAGACAAAAAAACAAAAACAATATTCTACCCCAATAATCTTAATAAAACGATGGGTTACATCCACTAACATATAAATTTTGCAATCAATGTATAAGTATAATGCACTAGGGGCCAATCTAGAAAGGGTATGAGATACAAATTTGGTTAAATGAAAGAAAACTTTCGCAATCAAAGGTCAAAGAAGATAGCGTTTAGAAAACCTTCAAAGATTTTTTGGTTTTGAAATATTTTGAAAAAATCGGATTTTACTATTGTTTCTGCCGTTAGAGAAAAACCAAGGACATTTCGCCACAGCCCACAGCTACTTTTACTGCTCTTTAAGGTGGCCTTGTTAATTTGTTAATCCGACGTTTCGTCTTTGCGGAATCATCAATTGATTCTAAATTTTTGAAAAACCAAAAAAATTTTCAGAAATTTCCCTAAACGCTCGTTGGAGTTTTGACTGCGCAATTTTTCTCCCATTGAATCAAGTGAAACATTGAATAACTTTGACAGATGTGAATTTTTTTTATTATGGATCTGTAGCTAATCGTCAACAACACGCTAAACCACTCCCATGTCGTTTCATTGAAAATATTGAAGCTGTCAGGAGAAGTGTTGCCGAAAATCCGAATGTTTCTTATCGTTGCCGAGCTTAGCAAATAAACTGCAATGGGACCCTTCCTTAAAAGAAGACCTTAACATGTTCCCATACAGAGTACAGTTGACCTACAGATTATTGGAATGGTAACAGACAAACCGCGTGCCTAACTTACGCGACTGTCATTTTCGAATGTTGGAAATGGAGCCGGACATTTGGCAACGAATTTTGATTATCGACGAGACTCATTTCACACTCTCTGTTGCTTTTGGAGCACCGAAAATCCTCACGAAATTCACGGACTGTTTGGGCCGGTATCTACTCCCCCAAGCCATATCATTGGACCTTTCGAAACTGGTTAGACCGTAAATTGCAGTCGATATCGTTGCATGCTGGAACACTTTGTGTTACCGCAAATGCGTCAAAAGAGTCTTGAGGGATTTTTGGTTTCAACAAGACGGCGCAACACGCCATACTACCCACTTAACGACGGACTTTTGCGTCAGAACTTCCCCGGACGTTGTGATGTCAAAAATCAACGATACTGACTGGCCGCCAAGATTACCGGATCTTGCTCCACCTGACGTCTTTGAAAGGGGATTTTTGAAGAGGACAGTATACCTACGATAATAAACCGAACACGATAGCGGATAGAAGAACTCAAACAAAACATTCGAGCCTATTCCGAAATGGGTGCAGAGCGAGGAGGAGTAGAGACACCGACCAAACATGCCAAAAAAGCGCTCACTACTGCCTGCACCAATAATGGCGGTCATTTATTTATTAATATAGAAAGGCTGAATGGTTTATTTCATCGATCTTGTTATTCGTAGTCAAGTCAGTTTTCTATCCTTTGGGCAAGACACAACGTCAAGAAATGTTTGTCCAAAATCACAAAAATATCTCTATGCGGCCCTGGAAAGGAATTCTTAATTTCTGACAAATGAGCCTTTGACCCAGTGTGAGTCATAGAATCAAGTGCAAAACAGGAGTATAATATCCTCAATTGATATTATATTACAGAAGAATAGATGAGTTTGATTTGAAGGGGTCGAAAATTGTGAAAAACGCAACACCTACGCCTTTTCATTTGGCTTTAATTTTAATTGATTCTTTTCTCAATTGAACGTAAACAAAACATATTTATAAGAGCATGTTAAATTTGATATTGCTAAAGAACTGAATAGGAAAGCCTACACTGAGGCCTACACCAAGATTACGAAAATACCAACCTGAGCGGTTACACTTTATTAGTTATAATGGTTGTTGCTTTAGTTTATACACGATTTTCTCATGAGTCATGAAATATCAGAACTGTAAAATGAAAAAAAAATTCGACATTCACTTACACTATTTCAACGTGCACTAAAATGCTTAAAATATCATTAGAAATTGTGACTAAACTACAATTTCACTTTTCGGACTTTGGAATAATTATTCTATAACATGCAAATCTGTACTTTCTCCCATAAAATTTAGTCATTAATTACACATTACACGAAGAATTACTTCTGCATTGATAAATTATTATGGTTACCTTTGTTTATTTTAATAAGTCGCATTGTAATTTCAAGATCGGGGAAAATGAAGGTCCATTTTGCGTAGACTGGAAGTTCGAACGCACACTTACCTAACAATGAAATTGTGTAGTTTTTCAAATGAATGCGTTTCAATTGTAGTCATACCACTCAAGGACACAGTTGACAAACTGATTCAAAATTATCATCTTTGCTTGCTGGAAATGATAAGTACCCTACCAGCCAGCGGCTGAATATAGGTAAGTGGTTGACATGCAAACCAAAACGAAGGCCCTTGATCTAGAAGTTTGCAATCAACAGGTGGTTTCCGCATACAATTAAAAGTACACGTAAACTTTCTTCTAAAAATAGGTAGGTACTCGCGGCAAATGTAGCACAGATTTAGACTATAATTGTGTGATTGTTCTAAGGAAATTACTTTTGTAGGTAATTAATCTTCACGCTAATTTCCTAAGTACACAACTAATGAAGCATAACGCGACAGAATGCTTTCTAATGTCCTACAAATACCTACCTACGGCTACGTTAGGTACCGCATTCTTGAAAAAAAGGAAGCAAGGGCAGGTGTGCCGAAGACGCTCGGTTGAAGGAATGTTCAACAGTGACCCGATTAAGTAATGGGTACTTACCGATATACTTTATGCCTAATCTCTGAATGGCTACTTTCAGGATGTAGAAATTAAAAGCATTTTATTTATATATGCTCGCACAGTAGAGTAGCAACAATTGAAAGTTTGTTGTTGCACACACAAAACACAACTGAACACTTTGCGGTCCAAAAGTCGACTACACAGTTTACCTCCACTGCCTTCTCATATCATTAACGCAGCTCAACTACTGCATCAATGAATACAAACAACGTCTATAAAAGCATCACGAACGGCCTCGGCGCCGTTTTGTTTTTAACAACTGCCTGCCTACTAAGGAAGGTATCTTCAAGTGGGGCGCGTTGCGTTGCTCCGTTCTTTGACTTTATTTTTATAGGGTGGGTGAAGAATGTTATTCAACATCGGTCAAGGACGGCTTGTTGACTGTGTTCATGATAAGTAGGTATCCTGTTATCATGTAATGCGATGCAAATAAATTCCTTATTACAATTTGTAAAGCGGAAGGAGAAAGCCAGGATTTCATTTGCCCCTACATTTTGCAGCATTCGTTGTAAAATTAGGGCTACGATTTTAATGACGTTAAAAATCAGAGAAAATGCAATTACCTAAATATGATCAAAATCTCGCAAAAATGGCAAAAATTTAAAAAGAAATTAAATCTTATTTCCAAAATAGAATTTTTTAGCGCATTTTTGCAAAAATTTTTTTTGTAAAAAGTAGCTTTAATCTCACTTTGGCTGGCTGGCTGGCTGGTCGGCTGGCTGGCTGGTCGGCTGACTGGCTGGCTGGCTGGCAGTAAATGCGCGCCCGTAGAAAAACGCTTGTAAAAAGACAAGGAGTGTACATGTAACTATCGGGGCCGTGTAATTAAGAACGTTAGGGATGGGGCTACAAGATTTGGAGTCGACGACATCTGGACGCCATCCCCGAGCGTATTATACTAACCTGGAGATTTTTCAGTTTTTATCTATCTTCTTCTACAGTTTTTCTCCGATTGTTTTCAAATTGGTGTCGTCGGGAAGATCTTGTCAACGCGCACAACTCCTGCGTTGGCGGAATTTTGTTTTTTTTCCTAGGGGCGAAATAAACCACCTTTTGCGCGGCGCGCTTCGAGGGGTAGTCGACTTTGGGCGCCCAAAAGTTTCTTACAGCGCGAATCGCGGTCTCTCTTTCTCGTGTCACTAATAGAAGGTCGAGCTATGTGAAGTACCCAAAAGTTGAATACGATCTTATGCCGGGATTTTAGCGAAATCTACCAAAATGTGAATTACGAATGAACGGGACGTCGGAACTGTGTATCGACAAAGGGAATGTGGTAACCCCCGACGAGATCTTGCTGATGGTGGAGTCGAAACTTCAAATCCGAATTGTTGCGGGTGATCAGAAGTGGGTGTCGACAAAGGGAATATGGTAACCCCCAAATGGTTTTACTGATGGTGGAGTCAAAACTTCAAACGCGAATTGCGAGTGCACGGTAAGTGAGAAAATGGTACCGACAAAGTGAACGTGGTAGCTTTCGGCAAGATCTTATTGATGGTGGAGTCAATATTGGCTAATAAAACACTGATCTGCCACACAAAAATGCGCTGAAGTCCCTTCGATCTCACACGAGGACTTTGATCATTTTTATTTTTGAAATATAGAAATCAGGAATCGGCAACAGTAACCCCCTCAAAAAACAGGAAAACTCAATTTTCAAATGATTGTTATTGTCATTCAATCTGCGTTTATACCTTAGGTACATAGAAAAGTTGGCAGTTGCCTTCTACTAACAGGCGATCAAAAATGAGTTGCTGTCAGAGTGGCCTTTGGAAGTTCAAGTTAAGGCTCCTCTGTAGTCAATCCGCCATATTGGAAAAATAGCTAAACTTTCTTATGAAATGCTGCTTTTGTAGTTGAAGTCTAACAAATTCTCGATAGTGGATATTCTTTGCAATGATGAAAAGAACGGCGGTACTTAAAAAAAGTTGAAATATCGGTCTTAGTTTTTTAGGAAAATCGATGAATAGAAAAATCGTTTTTCGTAAATAACAGCCGTTGTAATGGGATTGGGAATAGAAAAACCTACAGCATCAATTTGGAAATCCGACAGTATTTCTTACGGCGGTACTTAAAGATATTATTTCCATCTATTATGATAAGGCATAGGTATATTTAAAAAAATATGTTTCGCGATCTTCAGAAAAAAATCAAAACGCTAACGCAAGGATAGGCCACTCAAATTGGACTTATAACGCCTGAGGCGACAACTCATTACTTGAAAGGGAAAACAAAAGAAACTACCTCTGTCATTACCCTACACATTGTTACGCCGTTCCTAATGATATGGATTAGATAAATATTACTATTTATTATTTATTTATTTGAATGCTGTTGATTTGTAAATCATAATGCCACATATTCCCAAGACGAAACATGGATATCCTATTATAGATACATTGGAAATTTCTAAAACCTTTTGCATCCCATCAGGATGCTTCAAGAAATAAAAAAAAAAATTATCAAAGTCCTCGTTTGAGATCGAAGGGACTTCAGCGCATTTTTGTGTGGCAGATCAGTATTCTATTAGCCACTTTCGACTCAACCATCAATAACAGATCTTGTCGAAGGCTACTACATTCACTAACCGCTTCCCACTTTCCTCGTGCACCCGCAATTCGCTTTTAAAGATTTGACTCCACCATCAGGAAGATCGTGTCGGGGGCTACCACATTCCCTTTGACGGTACCCACTTCCGACGTTCGGTTCACCCGCAATTCGCGTTTGAAGATTTGACTCCACCATCAGGAAGATCGTGTCGGGGGCTACCACATTTCCTTTGACGGTACCCCCTTCCGACGTCCCGTTCGCCCGCAATTCGCGATTGAAGATTTGACTCCACCATCAGTGAGATCGTGTCGGGGGCTACCACATTCCCTTTGACGGTACCCACTTCCGACGTCCCGTTCACCCGCAATTCGCGTTTGAAGATTTGACTCCACCATCAGGAAGATCGTGTCGGGGGCTACCACATTTCCTTTGACGGTACCCCCTTCCGACGTCCCGTTCACCCGCAATTCGCGATTGAAGATTTGACTCCACCATCAGTGAGATCGTGTCGCGGGCTACCACATTCCCTTTTACGGTACCCACTTCCGACGTCCCGTTCACCCGCAATTCGCGTTTGAAGATTTGACTCCACCATCAGGAAGATCGTGTCGGGGGCTACCACATTTCCTTTGACGGTACCCCCTTCCGACGTCCCGTTCACCCGCAATTCACTTCTATTGGCGACACGAGAAAGAGAGACAGCGATTCGAGATTCACGAAACGTTAAACCGCGTGAGTTCGCAACGGAAAGTAAAAGGCGCCTGACTACTTCTCGAAGACGCGCGCGCCGCCTCGCAAAAGGTCGTTAATTTCGCCCCTATGACAAAAAACAAAATTCCGCCACGCAGGAGTTGTGCGCGTTTACAACATCTTCCCGACGACACCAATTTCAAAAGAATCGGACCAAAACTGTAGTAGAAGATAGGAAAAAACTGAAAAACCTTCACGTTAGTATACTACGCTCGAGGATGACGCCCAGATGTCGCCAACCCCACATCATGTAGCCATGTCCCTAAGGTTGATAAATTTCACGTCCCTGTAGATACACGTACACCCGTTGCCTTTCTACAAGAGTTTTTCTACGCGCCCACATTTGCTGCCAGCCAGCCAGCCAGCCAAAGTGAGATTAAAAGCTACTTTTTACAAATAAATTTGCA